TTTTTTTCACTCATTTTCGACTCGTAAAAATGTGGCCTTTGGTTATGTTTCGTTGAAAATATATTCCATATTTCACTTCAACGAAAAAATGTCCTCCTAATCTTTAAAATCAAACGAAAAAAAAAAACACTTTTCAAAATCTAAAAACGGGTGTAATATTCATATGTGTAGGCAAACGAGTCAAGCTGACAATGCTGTTACCTGTACATATTTCTGGAAATCGTCTGAATCCAATCGAAAATAGAGAACTCCATTTACTAATGTGTATATCCTTTACATGTTTGTATCTGTTATCTTTATGAAGTGAAGACCTGAAATCTTTTATCAACCGATATATTGAAAAAGATGGCTCTGAAATATTGGACAATGCTAGGCTAGCGACAACTGATGATTCAACACTGTTTTCCAGTACAATAATCGCCCTTTTTTCCGGCTTGGAAAACTGCAGTTTTTTAAGAAAGTCTCTTGCCATTGTTTTAAACTTGCATCCAGTTTCCTCAGTCTCCTTTTCTCCTTTTACACGTTCTACGTTTATTTCCAATAACTTGTAATCTATGTCAAACTTCATTTCTCTATGCAGAATCTTAAAAAGAAACAATCTTACGATGTTATTGTCACTGTTTGTGAAAAATTGTTTTGCTAAATGCGTTGCTGCTTCCCTGCTCTCAGAGTCATCATTTTCCACAAATAAGATTACTTCTCTATCCGAGTCTCCACAAGCTGAAATTAGAATTAAAATTAAAATACAGAATGCACTGTATTTAGGGCATTTATTACACAAAATTGTTTTGAATTTATATGGCACTCAAAAAGGGACAAAGTTAAAATAGATGTAATTATACAAGACTTTAAATATGGAGGCGTAAATATGATAGATTTGCCGATTTTTATGAACTCGATTAAATCAAGCCGGATCAAAAGAATATTTGATGAAAATAACCATGGATTGTGTGAAGAGATAATAAAGAAAAATTACAAAAAAATAGGTGGAATCGACATATTTAAAAGTGATTTAAAAACATATGATATTCAGAAACTTAAAATCGAAAATACTTTCTTAAAAGAATTACTACTGTCATGGAGTAAAATAAATTTTAATAAAAATCCACAAAATTTATTAGAACAAATAATATGGCAGAATTCACACATAAAAAAAAATGGATCTTTAATTCTTTTTCCAAAATGGAAATGTCGGAATATCAATAGAATAAAGGATATCTTAAACACTGAAACAAAACAATTTAAAACCTTTTACCAGCTGAAACTTAATTTTGACATTCCTGATACAGAAATATTTAACTTTTATAAATTAATTTCATCATTTCCCAAAGAATGGAAACGTAAACTACAACAAATTTACCAAACTTCAACGCCTAAAGAAATAAGCACTTTTGATATCATAGAAAAAACAAACACGTCCAATATTAGTTACAAGTTAACACAGATTCAAAAACAAATAAGACTCTCTAAAAATAAAAAAAAAACAAAATCGAAATTAAAATGGGAAGAAGGATTTCCTCAAAAAGAATTTCAATGGCAAAATATTTACGAAAACGTTTTTGTTTATTGCAAAGATAATATTTTACAAAACTTTCAATATAATTTTTTACACAGGAATATTGCAACAAACAAGTTTCTTCTTCAATGTAAATTAACCGAATCTAGTCTATGTGATTTTTGCTGCAATGATGTTGAAAGTATAGAACACCTAATGCACAATGTTAAAATTAAGCATAAAAACAAAAACCTTCAATACCTAATTAAACTCCGATATTAACACGTCAACAGTAAATTTCATGAAACAGAAATAAATGTAAACCAACAACTTAAGAATGTCACATTTTATATGCAGATAGTAAACAATTATTCTAATTGAGATCACATATTCTATTTAATTTCTGATGGCATTTGAAATTAACAAAGTTTCACGAAAAATCGGGTCAGTTGTTACACCCCGGTCGGACGATATATTACAAACTTCATTTTTTTGTACTTTTGACTTATTTTTGCTGGCAAAATACGTCCCTTACTACAAGCTTTGAAATTTTCTATTTCTTGTTCCAATAGATCCATTTGTTTAAACGCGTAGTTCCTATATACACAATCTCAATATTATATAACACACATGTACATGATGTATGTAGTTGTGTATCGTACATTTTGCGATCTGTCCTGACTAAATTATTTTAATTATTATTATCTAAGTTGTTGCCCTCTGCATACATAAATACAATTGAAACAAGCAAATCGATTTATTTTAATCACTTCATATTGTAGACTGAAAATTGAGGTTTGTTTTTGCTCTCTTTATGCAAATATAATGAATTGTTTAACAATCTGTGAGAAGGGTGGGCAAAAATGCGCCTGCTATTTTATGAAGACGGACTTATGTCATATTTTAAGTTAGAGCAGCAAATTGTCTAGTTATTTGTTAGAAAGAGTTTTACATACAAGATAAATGAAATGTGACCTTGACCTTTGATCAATTTGATCAATAACCGTATTTATAGACTAGGTAAATGTGATCTCGAGTTTTGACAAATTGAATCTAAAATAATAAGTTCTTCTGACTTCAAAGGCCAATATACCTTAGAAGTGTTAGGTAAAAGGACTCAAAGTTTGCTGTGCTATTGGTGCTTAAATGTGTTATTGTAAAATATCCATATGAAATTGACTTTTGACCATTAACCCCGTTACCCAAAAATCAATACGGATCATCTGATTGCCGTAGATTTTTTTTTAACTTCCAATGACCATCTATTTATAGTTATACCATTAACATTACATTTCCAAAAAAACAACAAAAAAATAAAAACAACAACAGCAACATCAAATTAAACATAATGGTTAATTTTCAATAATATTTCATTTTTAATTTGTTCTATAGACATACAAAGAAAATAATCCTAGCTCACAATCAACAATCCGATTTACATGTGATGTCGGATATGTAATATTTGCTTTTAAAACTTATGTATGTATAAATCTGGAGATTTGTGAAATCATCAAATGCCAAAATCTTAGATTGGTAATACCATAACATTAAACAATTAGATCCTTTCAGAGATACCCATTGTTTGTCTGACTGCTTTGATGACGCTTTCTGTGCAGTGGTATTTCTCACTTAATATGGAAGGAGCCTAAGCTTCTTCAGTTTGGGTAAAAAATATTGCTTAGATTGCAAAATTGGTAACTATATAATTTTAAAATACATTTCGATTGGGAAGAGGCCTTTTACATACATCTTTTGAATAAAGTGAACAATCACTGCCGTGTTAGATAAAACGTGCCATTTGAAAACAAAGAAACCCTTAATTATGTAAATGGCTTAATAATATTCAATCTGTAAGTATTATAGAATCACATGTTCATTCTTTTTACCTTTTTTGCAAAGCATTACAACTGTTCATGTATTAACCATAATACACCACCGGGCACAGTGGTGCTGTAGTTTGTTCATTAAATGCTGTAAACCATTTGCAAAAAGCAATAGAAATATCTGTGATTCGTCGGCATAGCCTCTGTCTGATTAGCCATAGCATAAACAAACAAACAAACAAACAAACAAACAAACAACAAACCCCTAGAAATTATAAAAATGACAATGGCTCTTCCTGCTTTATACTGATGTCAAAATAATTAGATAAACAGCCATTTGCTTTTACACATGATTTTACTTGCTCATACAAGACCCTAAGAAAATAATTGTTTGATGATGCACAAACCATATACTATATATATATATACGGTCAAACGCCTTTTTAAAAATCGACAATAACTGTTTACCTATTTACATTTTATTATTTCATAAAACAATAATATCTTACTTATATTACGTTTTTAAAAAAAAAAAAAAAAAAAAAAAAAAAAAAAAATACCACCAACAGTGCGATTTCCTTTATTAAACCAAATTGTCATTCGTCTGATACGTTTACAATTCTATTGCGATAAGTGTTTTATCTAAAATTATTAAAACCATTATTTAAAAGACAATGTTTGTTAGAGTAAAACCTCTATAATAAATACCTCTCTAATAAGCAACATTAATTAGGTCATATGGTACAATTGTACATGTATCACAATACCTTTAGTCCAACTTTCTGGATACTTCAGTTTAAACACATGTTGTTAAAAAGTTCACTAAATAGTGATGAAATAATTTGTTAATAATCTATAAATAGTTCAGTTGTAAGTTATTAACTTCCACAACTTTTGTCTTTTATTCAGAAAAAGCACTTTCATTTTTTTCATTTTCCGAATTATAACAAAATGCATTTTTTTAAATCTTTTGAAGAAGTATATAACAACACTGCGTTACTTAATTTTGTTAAGTCATTCACTCTTTTATCAACATTGTCTAATAAGAAAATCAGAAAATCTATAAAGCATTATAAAATTAAGTACTTAAAGCATTTTTCGATAAAATTTCTATATTTGATTATTTTGCTCTAAGAAAACACTAATTGATAGTATGTTTTTTGATCATTGTAAAGCCTGCGTCACATTACACTCCGATTAGGTTTACGCTGGGGTACCGGTGTCTGAACGGGCTTAAATTTTCAATTTTTTAAGGTTTCCGGCCGGTGACCCTCCGGTGTCAAATCACCGGTGAGACAACGTACGGGTAATCGGGGAATTTTAGCGCAGAGTTATTATCCGGTACATCACCAGCTTACCGCAGCAGACACGGTCAAATACCCTCCGATACCCGGCCGTACACCTCTTGGTATCGGTTGCATGTCGGTGAGAATTTTCACATTCTGAGCGCCAAATAATCCTCCAGGTCCCGAGCGACCTCCGAGCGGTCATCGAAGGCGATTCGGCAGGTAACTGACCGGGACCCGGATAGACGCAGTATGCTGCACGTATGGTCTTAAAGTGCCCCTAAGGATAACGTTTGGAGTATTATAGCATATATTAATGAATGCAATTTATTTATTACTAACAAATTTCTTAAACAAGGTTATCGCTATCATAAATTGCGTAAATATTTTACTAAGTTTAGACATTTGAGATTTACATTTTTATTTGGACTTCATGTATTTATAAGCATAAATTGTTCTTCAATTTTTCTTTAATAATTTTTCTGTAATAAATTTGTTTTTGTTACAAGTTTGTGGCTGGGTTTTCTTTCTCGTTACGCCTGGCTCGTAACACTACGCTTTCCTCTTTTAATTACATCTGACGGACTGAGTTGGAGACTCTATAATGGACACTTCATAAAGCCCTTTGGGACTGATTTGTCTAAAGGTTCGTCTTCTGTCTTGCTTCGTCGGGCCTGTGTAGGTGATTTTCTTGTTGCTCTGTCTTCCTTAAAGGCATCGGGTTTTTTGTAATAGTCATTAGGTTGTACCTTTTTCTACATATTTACATAATTTTGTATGTGTTTTATTTATTTCGTCTAAGGTAACCATTACCATTGTTAGAATTTCACTTGGTCGGGATTATTTTTATTTACACTTTCAGGAACATATTGAGACTGAGAGTGAGGTTTAAACTCCCCAGTGGTTTAACTACCACTGACAGTTTGATCTGATTGGACCTGGACGTTGCTATGGTGGCTGATTGGTGCCATTTATGTTTTTGCCCCGCAAGATTTCAGAATTCAATATTATATTAAATAAATTAAACTTTGTCCAGTGATCTCGCTAATTAGCGTGTTTTCGCTCAGCTTCCCAACCATTTCAACTTGTCAATTCACGACTTTTTGCTTGGCGGGGTCGCGGGCGAAGTTATATTTATATAATTATTGAAAAACAGAATTATTTTTACTAACACTTATCCATAGATATAAAGGTGGATACCAACGTAAATCAAAAATGTCTAGAATTTTAAAATGATATAATTTGCCAGTTTACTTAACTTCTTGTTACATCATTGCTTTCAATTTTAGATCCAACCAAATAAAGTAAATTATCAAATAAACCGCAACGTAGAAGTTTAATAAAATGTAGGAATCAAAATGATATAATTCTTGTGTAATAACATTTTTATGTGATGTCATTTGCGTTGTATACATACGGAATATTTTGTTGTAGTAGCTTTCAGGGGCTATGTATTTTGCTACGAGCAGCGGTGGAAAATTGGAATCACCCGAGACCGTTTCCAACGTTGCGAGTAGAAAAAATACATTGTTTTGTTTCATTCAGAAAATGAAATGTAGTTGTCAAGAAATACATTCATGACTGACAGATGAATACGTAATTCTTGCGAACCGGCCACACCCCTCCAAATTTTGGTTCCCTTTTCCAAATGCAAAATTATGCAAAGGATCGGAACCAACGTCAAAAATAGTTCCTCACTTCCGTATATGGTACCGTATTTGTCAATAACATAACACGGACATTTCTATCCGTTGAAACGTATTTGCGCTTCAATATTGGTGTGTATTTTAGGGAGAAAATTTAAAGGTATATATAATTAAAACATTATAGGCGCGTCCATGTGAAATTACACATTTTAACTTTAACACCAAACCTATTTTGGTTATGTGATAAATATTAAATTCGTGAAGATCCAATAATAAACAAATCATTGAATAAAAAACTATATTATCGCCAGAGGCTCGCACATGAAGATTTTATTTAACAAGATCAATAAATTTAGTATTAAATCTACACTATTTTAGTATCCTCTGTGTATTAACTTATCATATCAATGAAATAATCTAAAAAAAATATGATTCAGATTTGAACTACATTTGATGCCCTCTAAAATTAAAAAAAAATATACGAACATATCAACAGACAAAGTCTAAACGAAATGATTGATATCATTGCCAAACATAAAATTAATAAATTTTCAGTAGGTATGACAATTGGCTAATGTGAAGGTGAACAATTGGCTAATCTGTATGTATGACAAAGGGTTAATATATTGGTATGATATCTGACTAATCTGTCGGTATGACAATGTAATAATTTGTAGATATTACAATGAGACAATCTGTAGATATGGCACTGGTATAATCTGTATAAATGACAATTGAATAATATGTAGATATGACAATGGGATAATCTGTAGATATGACAATGGGATAATCTGTAGATATGACAATGGGATAATACGTTTGTATGACAATGGGATAATATGTATGCATGGCAATGGGATAATTTGTAGATATGACGATGGGATAATCTGTATATATGAAAATGGAATAATCTGTATTTATGAAAATGGGATAATCTATATGCATGGCAATGGGAAAATCAGTAGATATGACAATTGGATAATTTATAGACATGACAATGTGATAATCTCTAGGTATGACAATGGGAAAATCTGTAGGTTTGACAATGGGATAGTGTGTATGTGTGCAAATTGTCTCATCTGTAGGTATGGCAATATACTAATTTTTAGATATATAAATAGGATAATCTGTAGGTATGGCAATGGGATAATCTGTAGGTATGACAATTAGCTAATATGTAGGTACGGCAATGGGCTTTTTACATGTTTAGTGCAACATTTACTGTAGCTGATTATGTTGTATTCAACATAGTAATCCGTAGATTGTAAGAATGTAAAAAATAATATATATTAAATAATAATTGCCCGTTTATTAACATAACAATCCACGACTGGAATACTGTTGAATTGACATTTATTAAACAAACAAAAATCAAAAGAATGAGTTAAACAAATTATAGATTTCAATAACTTACTACAGTCTTGCTCATCTTCTCCTCCAGGACATTCATTATGTCCGTCACAAAGAAATCGTTGTTCAATACAAAAACTTCCTGGACATTTTACTGTATTTGCTGGACAAGTGAAGGTTTCTGAAAATCAAAGGCTTTTTCAATGACTCGGATAATATTGAGCAATTCATTGTGAATAATTAAAATTATTATATTTTTTTTAAGTGGTGAATGACTGAGAAGTATTTGTGATGTCACTCTGTTTTACTTTGTTTAGCTATAGCCTCTTATGTTTTAAGTATTATGTACATGTAGTTTATTTCAAATGAAAAATTCAATTATATTCTTGGTTTGATTCAAAACAGAATCGTTGTTCAATTTTCTTTATTAGATTACGGCAAAAGAGATTATATCTTAATGAATATTAAGTTGAATGAATAACCGCCATATGAACACATCTGCTGATGTTTTAAAATTCTTAACTTTACCAGGAAAAGTTTAATGTCGAATTCTGCTTAAGTCGGTGATAGGGGCGTGGACGGTAGTTTGCAATTGACAGTACCATCCATGACCAGGCTCAATCAAACCGAGCCTGCAACATTTTCAATTTTGCCGTGTTTGGCTTTCTTTGTTGGGTCTTTCTAGTAAGCATTTACAGCTTAACCGTAAAACCGATAAAACCGATCAATATGTTTTCTTTCAATAGAGATTATACAACTCGTTTAATTGAGTTTGATTTACTTATACGCCAATTGTGCAATTTGTTTTGCGTCCTTTCCATTCATTTTTAAAAGCAACTTTTCTTTAATCCAGCGCGCTCCCAGATGTTAGAATGAAATATATTAAATAATAATATCTTAATACAGTATCAGTTATATTAAAGTGAAATTATATCGTTACTTGGCTCTTAATTCATGTAATTCAAGAAGGAAAGTTTACCAAAATCTTCAATGAAACGCATTTCTCTTTGCTCAAGCTACTGCATTACTTACATAGTTGCCGATATATATACTGCAATTGCGATGATTGGAATAGTAAAACATATTGTCGTTTTTGATTATGTTAGATAATTTAATTGATGTACACTGCTTAATATCGTTTGATATTTTATAGAACTTTTATCTTGTAAATGACAATTAAAGATTTGAAACATATCAAGAAACTTTCTTATTATTTGGAAGCGTTTTATGTGTGTATCTTTCAGTTGTATTTTGATTTTAATACCTTTGATTTATCACCTAGGTCATCTTAAATAACTTGTTAAAAACATTGATACATAGACAGACACTATATGAGAAATTTATAAGCCTATTTATCACTAAAGAATAATAAGGAAGTAGTTTGCAAAGCAAAGAGCACACGATACGTATAAGAAGATCATAAGCATTTGAATGGTCGTGGTGCTAGGTAGTCTAAGTCATCTGGAAGAGGTGTCTAGTTGTGACACCTTAAAGCGATTTTATTTAAAAGTTTTAGGTTCGGGTCAGGAATGGTCTGGCAATGGAATGGAATAATACGGATGATACTTCATAAAGGCATTATCCAAGTTAAGGAATTGCTTTATTTCATGTGAAATGTTGATTTGATAAATGATTGTGTTAACACATATTACAAATGTGTCAAATGAAATATTAGTTAAGTATAGAGAAGAAAATTAATTATCACACAAATGGTGGAAAAATACCGGGTTCCAAAACGCCTTGAATCCGAGATAGTTAATGTGAAGGCTGGTATAGCTCTTATAGTTTTAAACCTAACTCAATCAATATAATTTTATGATGTAATAAAAATCATTTATGTTACACCTCATAAAATCTTACCAATGAACTGTCAGCGTTTGCAATATGTGATATTCTAATATCAATCATTCTTATATCTAATCTTATCAACTGAATCTCATTTTAATTTCAAGAGTCAAAACAGACTGTATTAAATCTAACTGCATTTCATACGCATATAGCCTCGTTTTAATTTCAGAGTTCAAAACGTACTCTTCATCTAGCATCGTGATCATTTTAGAGTGAATAAAATCATATGAAATCCTTATTGCAGTTGAAGAAACAAAAATTTGTTTAAATGTTAAAAAATGATGGTATGAAATAATGATGTAATTAAATATTATTGAGATCAATATTGATTCTATTGAATTTGTACTGCAAAACCTATATCAGACTTGGCTAGTGCCCGTCCAACATGATTCTCCAAGCTGTGTACTCGTCCAATAGAACTTAATAATGTATAACAATCATATATTATTATACAATTATTGACTAGTGAGCCATTGAATATGATGTAATATTAACCAGCAGATGGCATCTTGACGGAGGAGAGAGCCGAGGTCAATATGACTTTCTGTCGGTGAATATCACATCAAATTCAATGACTCACTAATGAATAATTGTTTTATTATATGAAGAGGCTAAGAATTACAAAAAAAGTCACAAAAAGTACAACTTTATAAACATGTACAAAAAAATGCCCTGTTGAAGCGCGAGAAAAAAGACGCAAGTTTTAGGCGTGCAGCGACTACGCGAACCCTGCACATACAAAAGTAATTCAAGATTATACCCATCATTGCAGTGTAGCCTTTAAGTATAATAATAAAGTAATGTTATTTTAATCGAGAAATATGCCTTAAAGAACAAAACGCAACAAGCCTCAATTTCAATACAGTTAACAGTGTTTCTAGCCTATTTGAATACTTTTCAAAGTGGAGATTATGCATTAGGGTTGGTCTACCTTAAGCGATATGACGATTTCCTTTAACTATTCTTTTGTATTTAAACTGATATTTTTAAATATGAGTAAACGTCTATGATCTGTTGGTGGCATGTTTCTGAAAACTAGTCAAACAATTGCCATACTGACAGACTTATGAAAATGTACTGGCTGTAAAACTGTTCGTTCGCTTACTATCCTTCCTACTATTCTTATTGTTAAAGCGCTTATATATTTAATTTAGGTTCAGAATTTACAAGTTAATATATGCAAAAGAAACAAGTTAGCACACAGCTATATACTATATACCAAGAGAAGGGCCGAAATGACAACACCTGTTTTGATCTGAGCAGTTGTGAAATTAACAGCAACATTATAAAAGCATTATTTTTTTCCTTTATTTTTAAGTTCAAAAAAGAACGATTATAGAACACAAAAATGTTCATGTTGAATTTTCTAAGCGGGTCGTGTGATCAGGTGAGGTTAAGTTTTACGGAGGAGAAAAATGCAAAATTATCTGCCATATTAATATTTTAATACTTACAGAAGTTATGCATTTATACACGCAAATTACATCCCAATCATCTCAAAAAAAAAAAAAAAATATATAGAACTTTATACATAATTCTTTGAAACGAACTTGTTTCCTAATTTCTTAAAAAAAATGGATTGGTAGATAGTAAAATAAAGATGCTTTTATGACAATGCATAGCTCTTACATCGATGCGTGTTGTCACATACAAAAAGTGCCCCTTTAAATGGCAACAAGATTTTATATGCAAAATTAATTTTAACCCTGTTCTCTGTTAAGAAGCCTCATTACATGAATTCAAACAGTTGCACAGTTCATTATTTGCATATGGAGATAAGAAAATATTGTCTTACCATATGACACAAATGTAATAAAAAAATGTTTAACAACAAAGCAAGAAATTTCAATAGGAAGTGTTAAGCTGGTGTATGCACAAACAATCCTACATTTAGTTTTATAGCTTTCATCATTTCAACATGTGCATGCAAATATGTCATATTTGATTCGCATACCCATGCATTTATGACTCTCTGGGGAAAGTTTTTTTTTGACAAAACAATGCTTCAATTATGATGTACATGTAGTTTTAAAATCATCATTGTAATATCTGGATACAATAAAATCAATAAAAACATAGCTTTATATTTTTTATCTAATGAAATAATGAAAGGAATGAATTCAAATATTCAAATTGATGATATTACTTGTCAAATAATAAGAAGAAATCGATAAATCTGCTGTAATATATTAACATTTTACATGTCAAGTTACATAAAATAAACAAATAACTTAGACAATCATATTCGTTACCGCAATGTTGTAAATGATCTCCAGATCTGCATCCAGTCATGTAACCGCTGGCATCTACGGCATATATACACATCATCGACGTTGGTATGGCTTTGTCGTCTCTTTTACAATGAAAGAACTCACCATATTCGGTCACATTGTATTCTTAAAATAAATCATTTTTAACAACTTATAAACATATTTAACAAGTTAATTTTTACAACATAATCTAGAAACAATTATGGCAGAGTTGTTCAAAGAAGTTTATCTGCATATTATTGAAAACATAATACGATATTTCGGAAAGTTTGTATGTTAACAATTGAAATAAATACTATATAATAATCGAATGAATTCAGGTAATTTATGATACAGCTTTTTGTAGGTTTGTAATAATGTTTGAACATTATTCTGGAACGAAATATAATAAGTTATAGAATTTCTTTAATTGAATCAGAATTATAAGTCTGTAAAACATGCTACTATTTTAAACTTCCATACCGTACTTGCAATTAAAAGAATATGCCGACATCATAAAAGATCTTGTCTCGAAATGACGCGAGCGCAATTGCTTGTACGTCTTGTCCACAATCTTATTATTCATATAGTCAATTTCAGTTCCATCGCAAATTGCCCCCTTTAAAAATCTATATATGGAATTCAGATTGGAACAATATCATTCTAGAAATTAGCCAAGAAATATTTAAATTGAGTCTATACACTTCATATAAACTTTAGAATTTGCATCCGATGTATCAGTGTGGGAGAAACGACATTTTTCTTCATTGAATATCCATTGTATAGTTTTTGGTTTATTTTGTTTATTCACTTTGTGGTATTTGAATAATGAATGTTGACTCATGCTTTTCAATTGACATGCTTATTTACTCTATTATCGTTTGTCGTGCATTTCGTGGTCACAAAATATCATATGATAATAAAAAGTTGAATACTAAATTTTAGTACAGTATTATTTGTTACTAAGAACTTTAAATTAAATATCAAACTCAATGTAAATTTCTGCATTTCAAAAATATTATATACGTTAAATATATATTTTAATCAATTTATGTATTTGAAATATCTGGGAATCGCTATAAATACCCCTTTTCACATGGCATTTGGATTTGAGAATCGAAACACTATAGATTAACATTACATGAATGTATACAGTCAGTCTTTAAAAGGAGGGACCAGATCAACTTGAAGAGTAATTGGGAATGCAGATCCCAAGAAATAGTTTTTATATAGATAAAGATTTTAACCGAATTACAGTTATATATAAAAATCCTAGATTTCAATAAATTTATACAATTACAGTCAACTATGAGCGTTGTGTATCTTTTACTTTGTAATCATATTACATTCAATATCAAGGTGACATATATGTCAAATTTAAAAAAAATATATAAAATGTAATTCTTTTCATTACCAAAACGTAGATTTTATCAACTAAATAGATGAAAACACTTTTATAATACGCGCACAGATTAAAACCTAATGTCCATGTAACTTTGATCTAATACTGATCAAACAAAATTTAGGGTAAAGTCATTTGAACACTTACCCGGATTTTTCTACGGTGCAGTTACAAAACGGATATGCAAAGTTGTCATTAAAATTGTCAACAACAGCAGCTTCACGGAATTTTAGTTGGCAATTCGTTTTTACCTGAAACAAACATATAATTTTAAATAAAATGGACTTAATTCATATTACAGTACCATTTTTTCATGTTTCAGTATTCTCACCAATTCAGTTGTGATAGAAATAATATTTTATTAGTCTAAAAATAAGTACGCAATGCAATTTGCATTGCATCTTATAAATAGATGTTGGAGAAAAAAATAGGTAATCAAATATATATAACAAGAAGAAAAAAACCAGCAACAACCAATTCTTAAAAAAGTGTTATTGTTCATAAAAGATATCCCACGTTACATATAATGCACTGCTCATAAACAGTCCTTATTTATATACAAATTTGATTCATAAAGCATATAAAAGTGAAAACATTATTGCTTTCAGGAGAGATAAAAGTAACACAAAATGTGCTACTATTTGAATAAGAAGTCCATGGACCTTAAAGGTGACCTTGAATTTATACCAAAGCTTATGTGAATTAATTGTTTGTTTTCTTTTTTTGCGTAAATAACTTAAATACATTTATTTAAAATCAGACATCACTTAAATAATTTAATTTCAATACATTGCCTTTATATGATATAATGTATAATATATTATATTGTGCATCTGGTATTCTGTTCCTAGGGCCAAAACCGTAAACCAAAGGGGTCATGCATTCCAAATTGATTTAGAAATGTAAGTGTTCTGACTCAAACTATAATTCTTAATTTATCAACTGTGTAAAAATAATTTTTACTAATAATATCCTCAAAAAAACATAATTCTATTTAAGTAACGGTGACATTTGATACCTTTGGATACAAAAGCAAATTAAGCCGGGGTTCTTCATATAACCTTGCTTTATCAAGTTTGTTGCAATTTATCAACCTTAAAACTGTTGTTACAATCAGGATTTTTTAAAGTAACGGTGACCTACACACAAAAGGGGTCTCAATGCAAAATAAAACTGAAATAAATAAAAAAAAACATTGGTCTTCATATAGGCCCTCTGTACCGAGTTTAATTAAATATCTCATTCATAAACTGCTGTAACTCTTGTTATTGTCTAAAAGCCCCTTCCCTATTTTTAGCGGTGATCTTGACCAAAGGGGTTCTCATACCAAGCCAGGCCTTTGTTTGAGCTTGCTATATACAAATTATGATTACAATATCACATTCATTATTCTAGTTATTGTCCAGAAACTATTTCACTAATTTTAGTTACAGGCATCTTGACCTTGACCCCTGAAGGATTCAAATGCAATAACAACCTAGGTCTTCATATCAACTTGCTAAATGCCAAGTTTGATACCAATAATTCATGCTTAAATCTAGTTACAGCCCTTAAACTATTTTCCTTTTTCCAGACATGGTGACCTTAACATTCACCTCAGGGGGTCCAAATGCACAACCAACTTAGGCCTTTATTTGAGCTTAATGAATACCAAGTTTGATTACAAAATTCCATTTTTGAATCTTGTAATAGTCCGGCAACCATTTTTCTATCCTCAAAAACGGTGACCTTGATCTTGATCCCTCGGAATACAATGCATACCAACGAAGATCTACATATAAGATTGCTAAATTCTAAATTTGATTACAATATCTCAATCTCACAAAAGTCATTGTCCGGAAACCATTTTTCTATTTTAAGTAAAAGTGAACTTGACCTTATGCTTAGGGGAGTCTAACAAAACCAACCAGGCGTTTTACATATGGTTGCTATACAGACGGTTTGATAACAATGTCACATTCCAAATTTTAGTTATCGTCCGGAAACCATGAAGGAGACCGACCTACCGACGAATGAACCTATAAAGCCCCCTTAGTTTTCTTTGTGGGGTAAAAATTAACTTTCATTGTATATTCAAGAGGGCCACGCCCTAGCACCAGGATCCCTAACCCTGTGGTCATGAATTTCAAAAGTTTTCTAGAAGGCTCAATCATGAATTTCAAATTTTTTCTAGAAGGCTCAATCATGAATTTCAAAAGTTTTCTAGAAGGCTCAATCATGAATTTCAAAAGTTTTCTAGAAGGCTCAATGCGTATTACAATCATTTCAACAGTTTGACTGCTTGATGCTCAGCAGTAATGAACATTTTTAAAGACTGCATATTTTTTATGAGAGCCCAGATGACAGGACTTTTGAATTTCACATTTTTTGTTCCCCTTCATCCATAAATGCTTTATGCCAAAATTTGTTTAGATTAATTCAGTGGCTTCAGAGAAGAATGTTAAAATGTTATTGCATAACGCACGGGATGGACTGAAACGGATAGCAATTGGTCACATCAGTTTTCTTGAGTTCAATTAAAATGTGTTTAGATTTATTTCAACACAACCTCATAGTACAAACTCAATACAGGGATTAACAGCACTTTATTAGTGGCTCGTTTATTTTACCTATTTGCGTATCTAATTATTCTGTGTAAACAGATATATTGTGATATATAATCTGTCAGATGCGAATAAACAGTTGGTAGAACTTGCAGAAAAAAGTTATAGAGCAGCTCTTTTGGATGGCATCTCCAATGAATGCAGTAAAAATGGAGGAGAATGATGTTATATTGGACAAACAAATTACAATCCAAGCTTGTCAAAATAGTTAACAAGTATTTGTATGTGTATTGTGATAGTTTGCAATAGGCCATGAGTTTATGTCAAAAAACGATATCAATTAATTCGATATTAATTATTGTGTGATAAGAGACTAAGATAGTGATTATAATTCTGGTGAATTGTCTGATACTATTTTTTAAAACGTTGACATTTGGTATCAGTGAAAGCAAACGATTGTACAAATATGTACAGTTCCGAATGCATAGACGAGGATCAGACCTTGACAGCATTCAAATACTCAAGGTTTACCTGCAAAATTGAATTGATTCGTCCCTGTTGAAAGTCATATCAATTATGCAAGCGTCTTATTTCAAAACCACAGTCCCGGGGATGATATGGAGATCAATAGTTCATGCCAACTACAACTTACCCGAATAAAACATGAATACCCTTGCCAAAAATAGTGCTCCATCCAAAAAACATAAATACTAAAATACGTCGGTACAGATTTACCAATTGAAACAACTATTCTTCCCATTTCCTCAAATCTCATACCAGAATCTGAAAGAAGAAATTATATTTCTAAATATTATTTTGTACTCGGGTATGTTTTCTCCTTAGTTAAAACTGGTGGATATATTTTACTAAATTCAGACTACTAACCAGCCCAGGTAGTATGTTCCTGTCAGTTATGATATGCCAAACTCCTATGTGTAACACATGCTCTGTTTCTCTATTATATCTAACTGACCTTTAAAACGTTAAATGTTAAATGCAATCAGTTGTTAAAGTTCATTTAGATAAAACTATTGTGCATACCACCTGCTTACTTCAACTCATGATTTTTACTTTTTGGAATCTTTTTCGGCTACAAATATATTTTAATCTTCTCCATAGGCTAGGAAAAATGTCTCTCTCATTAAAAGAAATGAATAAATGAAGTCCAATACTACAATTATAGTTCAAAGGCTAGTTAAGTTGAGTAGAGTTGAA